CCCCCCACACACACACACACACACACACACACACACACACAGGAGACCTTGCATCAGTAAGATTACTAAAGCTGAGAAGCCCATGTTTAATAAGCAAGTGAAGAATAATTTTTTTACTAAAATATAGTTCATAATATAGTTCATTCTGAAGAGACTCATGTCCTTGGGATAGTGCAAATGAAATGTAGAATTAGCACCCACACCTTGTTCTGAAATGTCAACAACTTGCTTTTTGTTTCCAAATTAAATTTATCATATTTATAAATATCACAATGATTGAGATAACTTGAATACAGCTTGACCAGATGAGCCAATAGGAATCTGAACTTCTGTGGCTGGTGATAGTCTTCACATACTGGGCTTCTGTGAAGATTGTTTAGGTGCTGTTTCTTTTTCATGTGTGATGCTCATCGGAGACAGAATTTCATGGTAAAAGTCAGACCATCCAGAATTCTCTAGTGTTGTTACAGACCATGCTTTTGCATTTACATAGTAGTCAGTGCGTGAGTTTCAGGTCTGTGTTCCTGAGCTCCAGGTGCTTCTTGTGAGCCAGTGTTCTAGAAATGAGCTTAATGGCAAGAGGTGTTTCCGACTTGTAACCGAAATGTTATATAGGATTGCACACAGTAACAGATGGTGACTAATGAGGTTACCCACCAAGAAGCTTTGTAAATGGCCGTAAAGTCTTTGGGCATGGCAGCTTATGCTGAAACTTCCAGACATCGCTGTTCATGCTTTACAGTTAGGCTGTTGTGAGGATGTCATGTCTTCTCAGGAAGCACGGGATATCCAACTGTTCCTCTGCCACTGGAGTTCAGTAAGAACACTCTAACTTGACTTCTGTGGCATATTCCATCCTGAGCTGTGCTCTGAGAGTCAGGTGGATAGTATTATATTATATTGGGCTGATGTTACACTACACTGCTGCAAAACTTTTAGCAAAAAGGTTAAAAGAAGCTAATGAGCTAAGTGTACAGCTAAGTGCAAAACTGCAGGTGTGATTTCCATGAAGAGGAGAAATCTATCCTGTGCTGTAAGTCAGAGGCAGTGGGTGGGTGGGGTCTGTCTTCTGGGAGGACAGAAAAGACCTCCTTAAGGAAGTGATGCATTCCAGAATTGAGAAGAGGGGTTGGGTTTAGGATAGGCAAAGGGACATGAGGACAACTTATAGGCAAAGAAGACACTGATTTGGGGAAAGTCTGTTTGTCATGGGCATCAAGAGTAAGAATTAAGCAAGGAATAAGGCTGCAAAGGAAAGGGTTACTACTGCATCAAGGATTTTCCTCTATCCAATAAAGAAAGGGGCGTCTTAAGGGATATCTAATAATCTGAATAGCTGCTAGTCATGCTTCAACATCATTTAGTCACTTTGTTCTGCAGGTTGCTTGAGATTCTTTTTAGAAATAATAGAGCAATGTTATTTTAAGCTTCAAACAATAAAGAAAGGTTGGTAAATAGTGTCTAGTTTCTAAGGAAGTTCAGATGATTTCTGCTTGTCTTTATCAGCCGTAAAAGCAAAGTTTATCAGGGTTTTGTAATCACCAGAGCTCTGCTCCCCTCCCACTATTCCAGTATAAAGTCATTTTAATATACCACTAAAGCCTCGTTAGTGTTTAATTTGATTGAGAGGTTTGCTTGCCAATTTTACTTAAGCAAATCTACTTCCCATCTCTTGTAATGCACTGGAACCCTTAAAAATGTAATAGTTAAGGGATTTAGGAGAACATGATTGTAATTGGAAGCTGGATTGGCTGGAACTAACTTGTTGCTTCCTAAACTGAGGAGAGGCTAGATTTCAGACATCCCTGTGTTTTCTGAAATTTCTAACTGAAATGTGTGACAAATGATAGCAGTGCCTTTTAGGATTCTTCTCCTCCAGGGTTATTGCATGTTGGTAAGACATTATATACCTTGTCTCTTACTGTCTTATATTTCAGTTAGTATTTTGTTATTACCTCACGTGGAAAGCTGGAGACAAAGAAGAGGGATTTTTTTTTTTCTTGGTTTTTCTAGACAGGGTTTCTCTGTGGCTTTGGAGGCTGTCCTGAAACTAGCTCTTGTAGACCAGGCTGGTCTTGAACTCACAGAGATCTGCCTGTCTCTGCCTCCCGAGTGCTGGGATTAAAGGCATGTGCCCCTTAATAAACTGAATAGTTTTTTTAACTTCAGTTTTAACTCATTTCCAAAGAATGTATATTATAATTTGTAATACATTTGGACTATGCTTACAGGCTATAGTTTGTTTTCTCCTACTACAAACTATCCTTTGCCCACAGCCCCTTTATGATAAAGTAATTTGGCTACTAGAATCTATTTCTGGATGCCCGGTATAGTTTGTTTGTTTGTTTGTTTTTCAGTATCCTAGTTCATGGTGTTTTTTTTTTTAATTTGTCTTTATTTTATGTGTCTGTGGGTTTGCTTGCGTGTGTGTGTGTGTGTGCACTGTGTGCATACCTGCTGAGGACAGAAGAGGGCTGGGTCTGGGGCTACAGGTGGTTATGAACCACCCACCATGTGGATGGGGAGGGGATACAGGTCCTCTGGAAGAGCAGCTGTGCTCTTAACTGCTGAGCCAGCTTTCCAGCCCCTCCCCCAATTATTTTTATTTAATTTTAGCTTTCAATTTTCAATGAACTGTGACTCAACTTACATTTTCATTAGCTTGGT